GCCGTCTAGATCTGATAATGATGAACTGAATTCTCTTGTTTCTTTTCTTCTTTGCAGATACTTCTTTCTTCATTGACTGTGGTAGTCCCGAAGGTTCCACTGACGTTTTCAACCGTACATGGCTTCCCGATCGGTTTTACTCCGGTGGTAGCACCGCCGTCGTCTCCGAGCCTCTTCGTTTCCATCTCGTCGCCGAGAAGACCATCAGGTATTTCCCTCTCTCCTTCGGCAAGAAGAATTGCTACGTCGTTCCTCTTCCTCCTGGTCGTTACTATCTGAGGACTTTCACCGTTTACGATAACTACGACGGCAAGTCTCATTCGCCGTCCTTCGATGTCTCCGTCGAAGGAACGCTTGTTTTCTCCTGGAGATCTCCTTGGCTCGAGAATCTCCTTCGCGATGGCTCTTATTCTGATCTCTTTGCCTTTATCGGCGATGGTGAGCTCGATTTGTGCTTTTACAGCATCGCTACTGATCCTCCGATTGTAGGTTCCCTTGAAGTCTTACAAGTCGATCCTTCCTCATATGACGCGAATGGGACTGGCCAGAATGTTCTTCTGGTTAACTACGGGAGGCTCTCTTGTGGCTCAGATCAATGGGGTCCTGGCTTCACTAACCACACCGACAGTTTCGGCCGGTCGTGGCAATCCGACGAGGATTTTCGATCGGATGATTCGAGATCGGTGGCTAGGTCGTTGACGACGCTGGAGAAAATCAAGGGAGTGGATCAGTCGCCGAATTATTTCCCGATGAAGCTTTATCAGACGGCGGTGACAGTCTCTGGAGGTGGATCTCTGGTTTACGAGCTTGAAGTTGATGCCAAGCTTGATTACTTGCTATGGTTCCATTTTGCTGAGATTGATTCTACAGTGAAGAAAGCTGGGCAAAGGGTGTTCGATCTGGTGGTGAACGATAACAATGTGAGCAGGGTTGATGTATTCAGCGAGGTCGGAGGATTTGCAGCGTTTAGCTTAAACTATACGGTGAAGAATCTGAGCAGTACTACTGTGACTGTGAAACTTTCGCCCATTTCGGGGGCACCAATTATCAGTGGGCTTGAGAATTACGCCATTGTTCCTGCTGATATGGCCACCGTGCCTGAACAAGGTGAGGCATACTAACTTGTTTGATGGATTACATTATGCGTTTTCTTGATTTGATTGGAATTATAAGAACTCAATGTCGACTATTATATAGCTTTGAGCATATTTTGACTCTCTTTGTTTTGCAGTGACTGCTATGAAAGCATTGAAGGATTCACTACGTGTTCCTGATAGGATGGGTTGGAATGGTGATCCTTGTGCTCCTACTAGCTGGGATGCTTGGGAAGGTGTTGCTTGCCGGCCAAACTCACAAGGATCTGCTCTTGTCATCTTCCAAATGTGAGTCTCACTGATACACACAGTAACTAGACTTGGCTTGCCTTATTCATTCTCATGTTATGGGTGGAAATTGTGTATACACACAGTAGGAATAGCCTTCTGATTAGACCGGATATATAAAGAAGAGCAAAGAAATTACCTAATGTAGTTGGTTTGGCAAGTTTTTTTTTTTAGTCGTATCGTAGCGCATGGTTAGAACATGCATCCTTGTTCGTCTGTCGCAGATTAAGTGTTACAAATTATTTTATTTATATGGAATTGTAACTTGGTATTATCATAAGTTTACCAGCAACTACTTGGAATAAATTTTTAAACTAACTTCATAAATAGTAATTGCTTGTATGGTGCTTATCATTTCTTATGCATGCGTCGCAC